TGCTTTGCCGTAATCTAATAAACCAAACCAAAACCAAACCTGATATGCTAAGAGATGCTGTTGAGAATGCAGTAACATGATTTAACTTGCTTTCGGAAAATGCTGGACGCTACATTGAACATGCTTTGTAACACGTTTCGGAAAATATTAAACACATTTTAAAACAGATGTTTTCGTGTCTTATTTCATTTAACAATATTGTATACAGCGCCATTTTTCCCCCTGATGGTGAGTTTTTGAACTCTTTTTTTTTTTCCGCCGAAAATAAATTCTCATAACCTCCTTTACAGGATTCCCAAGTTTGATAACATTTGGTCTGGTAGTTTTTCCTTTTATGACCATTTCAAAGTGGAACTTTAATAATAACCACCATGTAAAATAAGCTTTAAAAGTCTGACAGTTTGGTTCAAGTCCCAACTTTAAAAAAATATATATAAATATAAATTTTTATATTAATCCTCTTAGAAAGCATGTTTTAAGAAGCTAATTTTTCTCTCGCGTTATAGATTGTATAAAAAACATGATCTTTAATATGATTTAGATTGTTTCAGCCGATATAAGAATCGGGTTACTCTGTGGTACAGAATAAACCCTGCTGCACTGTTTTATTTCTTTGTCATTTAGCAAAAATCTTTTAATTAAAATATTTATCCTTTGGACTTCGCTTTAAACTTTATCTATAGCTAAAATGACTAGAAAATGAAAAGCTGTCTTTAGCTGAAACGCAATTCATATAATTGATATTTTAAAAAATTGACAAGAATGCAAAATGTATGGAAGTCTAGCAGTCAAAAAATCTTACTTTTCTTGTGTGAGCACTGAAAATAACTGTAGAAGGAAAGAAGAAAATTAGGGAGAAAAGTAAGCAAAAATTTGCAGGGAAATTTGGCTGTCAGACGTACCAAGATGTTCAAAAAAGTTTGGACGCTTTCGAATATACTTTCATGATATTTCAAAGAATTTAGGTGTTCAAAAGAGAAAACACTTGACGTACACCAGCAAATACCATCAATTGAGCTTGTGTTAACAGAAAAGACAAAACGAGATCATTGCAGATTAAGTGAAGATGACTGGTTTAAAACTATATGGTTGTGTAAATTACGTTATAGAACATCATATCGTATCATAAATGGTGAATCCCATGATTTCCTCAGTCGAATTATTTGAAGATTCAGAGTTTTATCCAGTGATGTATTGGATGTCACTTAAAGATTTTTTTTCCCTTCCTGATGAAACAGCGGCCGAGCGGTAAGTCGCTGAACACTGGTAGTTCGGCCTGAGATCGAATCCCGCGAACGGGCTGGCTGCATGGGCGTTTTCGTGGTTTTCCCCATGTGTAACGTGTATGCGAGCCAGTTTTCCCTTAGAAAGTCCTCCAGGAAGGCATCCCTTCCCTTAAGCAGATAGCCTAGTGTGCTTTGTAATAATAAAATAAACCAAAACCTTTTGATGAAACCAGCTTTTTCCTTTCATCTCATAGCTTCAAAATGTTTAGCCTCTAAAGACTGATAAGGCTCTGACGAAATACTTCGTGAAGAACTTTCTAAGGGAAACCAGCTGTCATACGCGGTACACATGAGAAAATCCACGAAACCACCCCATGCAACCAGCCCGTTTACCGGGGTTTGACCCCGGAGTGAACTACCAGTGTTCAGCAACTTTACCGCTGGCCGTTTGTGGGCCTTTATGAAATGGAAGGCGATAACTTCATTTAAAATGATTGTCAGAAATACCAAAATGTGTCGAAAAGGGATACTTTTCAATATACTTTCAGAATGCTTAAAGAACAGAGAAGAAAATAAATTTTTTTCGTAAAATTTGTATTCGTATTTTTTTAAATTTAAACTTTTCATCTTATGATATTTGATTCTTGCGATTTCAGAAAAAATATTTGACTAAAATATGAATAACATTTTAAGAAACCAAATGTAGGATAAAATTGTGTAAAGCAATGGGCACAATGATAAAACTGTTTAAAGCATGTATGCAGTCATCCTAATTAAAATATCGGTTATACATCTCTCTTATTAATATATTTTTTCTGAACGGAACATTGAAGGCGTGTAAAACTGTGCTTTACTGTATTTTCCTCTTTTAATATAGTATGCATTTTCAAACGCATCGTAGTCTGGGTTACAAAGTATTCTTCCGAAAAAAACACAGTTCAAATAAATAAAATCAAATTCTGGGAAAATGATATTAATAAATATATTTAAAATGCTCAGTTCGAAGGAATAAATAAAAATTTTAAAACATTATCTGAAGAGACAATGCAATACAAACAATTGAAATAAAAGAATAAACATTTTAAAATTACCTAAAATAATAACTACGACAAAATATATATATAAAGAAAAGTATTTGAAAACAAATAAAATGAACGCTGCACCTTTATTTACGCAGTTCGAATAAGTAAATAGAAATTTTTAAAACAGTTATTCGGAAAAAAAAAAAAAGTGCAACTTAATAATTAAATGAAATTCGAAAAAGAAAAATTCTTAAAATATAAGTTATAATTAAAAATATAAATATAAGAATATTATTTGGAAAAAGGAACGATGGTGACTTTTTTTCCTAGGAACTAGGTTCCATATATTAAGAAGTTCGCCAAGTGAAGTATTCTTGGCGCAAACTGACAAAAAAGTGCCAACATAATTTGTGAATTTTCCTCTCCGTAAATTTTCGCTCCAAATTTTACAAATTTCATATTTAGGGCTAATTTGAGTCGTAGAATCGAAATATGTAAAAAAATTGGTATGCTACTTCAGAAAGTTCGATTTTGTGTCAAAATACCTATGTTGAATAGTGCTATATATAAATCTAATATATATCCTAAGTCGCGCTTTCGAAACATGAAGAACGCAATTTGAATTTTGTCAATCGGCCCTGTAGATCGGGAGATATAGGACTGTCCCATTTTTTTTTTTTTGAGCAGTGTACATGTACAGAAAAACAAATAATTAGAGAAAAATTGGATGATTTATTGAAGTGATAGAGCTTTGCAAAGTGAAAAAGTCAGTAACGCATTTGTCCACCTCTGGCCCTTATATGCAAGCAGCTATTCGGCTTGGCATCGATTGATAGAGGTTGCGGATGTCCTCCTGATTTATATCGTGCCAAATTCTGTCCAACTGGTACATTAGATTGTCAACATCCCGAGCTGGTTGGAGGGCCCTGCCCATAATGCACCAAGTGTGCTCAATAGGAGAGAGATCCGGCGAACTTGCTGGCCAAGGTAATGTTCTGTAAGCACTAAGGCAAGCAGGTTCAGCTGAAAATGTAGCAACTAAGCACTAAGGCAAGCAGTAGAAACATGTGCAGTGTGGGGGCAGGCATTATCTTGCTGAAATGTAAGCCAAGGGTGGCGTGACAGGAAGAGCATATCACTTACAAATATGAGGCTGGCCAAGGTAATGTTCTGTAAGCACTAAGGCAAGCAGGTTCAGCTGAAAATGTAGCAACTAAGCACTAAGGCAAGCAGTAGAAACATGTGCAGTGTGGGGGCAGGCATTATCTTGCTGAAATGTAAGCCAAGGGTGGCGTGACAGGAAGAGCATTACAACGGGCCTTAGAATTTCATCGACATACCGCTGTGCTGTAAGGTTGCGACAGATGACAACCAAAGGGGTCCTAATATGAAATGAAATGGCACCCCAGACCATCACCGACAACCAGGATTGATGGTCTGGGGTTCCATGTCTGCCGGAAGACAGTCAGGTTGGTATCACACTGCTGTCCGGGGCGTCCCCAGACTCGCCTTCGCTGCTTATCGGGGCTCAGTTCAAAGTGGAACTCATCACTGAAGACTATTCTACTCCAGTCAGTGACATTCCAGTACAAATGAACCCGACACCATTGCAAACAGGCTTGACGTTGTACAGAGGTCAATGGTAGACGGCGCAAGGGGCCAAACCTCAGCCCCCTTTCTGTGAGTCGTTTATGAATTGTCCTTGCGGTCACTGAAGCACTAGTTGCATGTACAATTGATGATAATGATGCATCTGAAGCTGTGAAAGCCACTCTGACGATTGCTCGGTCTTCACATTCTGTTGTTTCTCTAGTCCTACCACTTCCTTCTTGATGCTGTGTGCAGCCATGGTTCACCCATTCCTGCCAACATCGTCTAATAGTGGCATTGCTCCTGCTCAAATGTCGAGCTATTCGCTGATAAGACCAACAGGCTTCTTTGAGCCCAACTACACGACCTCCCTCAAATTCTGACATCTGCGCATATCGTTCGGGCACCTATATGCGAGGCACAGTTTCTGTTTACCAGAGTACATGGAATGAAATTCGTGAAGAATTTATGACCTAGAATTGTAATTTCTCCTCTTAACTATCCTGCCAGTTGCGCAGATTAGATGCGTTGTAGTGACAACCATTCATTCATTGGCAGCCAAAATGTAAAATTTTGCATTTTCCATCGAAACCTGTATGCATATCAATTTGTGTCCAATTTGCTTTATATCTTCTTGGTGCATCGTGGTGCTTTTTTTTTTTTTTGGGTGTGTGTGTGTGTCTAAGAGTGTATTATCATTCGCGTTATGTCAGATTTAGCTCCCATTAGCTTCATTTTCCTGAAACTGAAGATACAGCTGAATGGTTGCCATTTTTACACAGCTGCCAAAATTGTGTACATATCACAAAAGGTTAGGGACTGATTTAGACAAAATGACTCTCAGGCCCCATTTCAGTGGTGGCAGGAATGCTGTGACATATGGATTTTTCTGTCAGGTGACCGTTTCTAACACTGCCAAGAATGATAGGACATTTTGAAAATGATGTGCAAACTTAAGTCATGTATCTTTTTATCAACAGAACTAGTCCAGGAACTTTAATATACTATACTGCTACATATCACTTACAAATATGAGGTAAAATTACATAATATATGTATAAAAATAATACCTTTAAATACATAACAGAATTTTTTTAGGAATGATCTTTCATTATAAAAACATGAAGAATAAATAGGCCAAAATAAATAGAGGAACACATGGTGAATAATAATATCTTTAATGATGCTTGAAATTTTAAAAACAGTGTGATACAATAAATATCTGCTCAACATATTTACCATTTATATATTTGGCCATTGTATTGTTTTTTCAAGTTTTTCTCCAGTCTTAGTATATATAATTCTCTTGCGTCCAGGAAAAGCTGTAACACCTTCAAAGAAGGTATCGGTTTCAGGATTAAAAACAGAAGTGTCTGGCAACACACACAGATTAGGTGGTAGTTTTTCTTGATCTCGAACAAGAGCATCATAATGCAACAATCCATCAACTGGGGTACTAAAATAAGTCAAAATATCTTCTACATCCTTTATCTTGTATAATAGAGAATTTGGGATATGTTTATTGAGTTGCTGTATTGTTTTTGTCAGCACCTGCAGAAATTACAAAAAAGTTAAACAAATAAATTACAACTTACGATATAATTTAAAATTATGCAAAGATTATAAAATAAAACACTGCTACTGAAAAATAATCAAACAAATCACATGTTTGACATCACCTTAAGGGATCCCCTGGAATCACATACATTGGTTTTGTACTGTATTATGACAATCGCTGCTCTATGGCATAGTAACATGGACCCAATTCCTACTGCCAGAAAAGACAGCCTGTGCTGTCCCAGAGGGCCATCCATGTGGGTAGCCTGATGGTCAATAACACAGAGTCAATAGATGCCTCCCTTCTTCATGGTCTAAGTGTGCCTGAGGTTTGAACCAGGCCCAGGCTGCTGGTTCAGTGTTGAGGGTTTGAAAGAGAGTTACTTGTCTGCACTTTGGATTGAGGCTCCCATTGTGCAGCTGAGTTTGTATTTTTTGGAGATTCTGTTGACAGCACCTGACCTTCCACTTAAGATGGAAGAAGTTCAAGCACTGTCTGCCTTAGCTACATTAAGTTGCAGGTTAACAAAAATTTGATTGATTGATCACATTAAGGGATTCTCTGCATGTCCAAAGTTTCTTAATAAACATTGTTTGAGAACCTGAGGATATGTATCATTGCTATTGGCTGATTTACCTAGGTTATGAAAAGAAAACAAAACGAAATTATAAAACAATTACCTTTCTCAAAGCTCCTTTAAATTTTTCCTTGTATGTGATGATAAACCATAAAATAATTTTTTCTAATTTTAAATATATTAATCCATTCTTAAAAATCAGAAAGTATCAATAAAAAGATGACATTAAATTCTGATGATTTTTATGCTTAATTCCTTAAGGTTCTTATCTACATATGCACCTTGGTTACAAGCAAATAAATTTTATAAACCAGAGCCAATATATGCTTAAAGAAATTTACCATTCTGAAAGCGATTTCATTTTTAAAACTCAATTATAAATATGCATTATTGTCCAATATTTTCTTTTTGTTTCAATAAAAATATCTAAGATTTCAGAAGAAATTCCTTTCTTATCTTTACATACCTCCTGGGGCCATAAACACTGGCTTTGTGCTATACTTTGAAAGTCTCAGCTCTACATAAAATACAGAAGTTCTACTCAGGGTACCAGGGGGTAGTGGTGTCAGCCATCTGAATGGGTAAAATGATTACACTCTGTTCATTGGTTTCATAAGCTTCTTGGCATGATTCTTGGCATTCAAGGCTGTATTTGCAATTAAATTCCATGAAGTAGGACCCAGTATACAGACCTTTGGGGAGCTCCTTTATTAAAATTTTTCTCTATATTTATTCCATATTATTTTTTAATTTTCTAAATAGCTAGAAATAATTTTATACAAATTTATATGACATTTTAATCTGAGTAGATTCGACTTTATGTTTGGCCATCACAGTTCATTAAACGCATTTCTAATATCTATTAATATCAATGGAGTACATAAATTATCATTTTTATTTTCTTTCACAATTCTTTTTACATTTCCAATTGTTAATATTGTACCTTTTCCAGATGTGAACCCATACTGGTTTTCATTCATTAATTTATTGTTTTTCAGATGAAAACATAATCTATTATTAATCAACTTGTCCAAAACTTTTCCCAAGGAAGACAATAAACATATAGGTCTATATGCCAAAGGATTAGTTGGATTTTTGCCTGGTTTTGAAAACAGGATTAAACAAGCAGTTCTCCAAAAGAAAACTAATTTCAAAAATGACATATCTATGGTTACTCAAAAAGGTAATCAAGAACTTCTCAATCTGAAATATTCAAGTTTTCTTTAAATCTGAGGCAATTATATCAATCTAAGAACTCCCCAAAGTTAAGCAAAATGTCGGAAGGTCATTCTTTATTATTATTAATCACAAATATGTTCGTCAAGAGAAAATCTGCTAATATTTTCCCTCTACTGTTCATTCTTTCTTGTCCCCATAGGGGATGTTTGCAATTCATATCTCCATTAATAACTATTGAATAATTATCAAATATCATTATCAGAGTTGTTAATATTTGTAAATGATCTTCAGAAGTCTCTAAAGGTGAAAAATAACAAGTAATCAGAATACAAGGATTTTGTCCATCTATCGAAATTGCAACAATATCTTTTGATACATAAAAGTCCACTATCAAAAACAAAGATTCCAGTTCTAATTTAATCATGCTTATTATATGCTTTTGCACATAAAGGAAATCCATACATTTTCGCCTGTGCACAAATCTTGTACACAAATTATTTGTAAATTTTTATCCATAATTTCCTTATCTGTAATTAAGTTGGTCTGTGGTTTTAACTCCATGATGAAGGTTAATTGGATATATTACATTTTTTTAATACTTACAATCCATAATCTTTTTTTTTTTTTTTTAATTTCTAGTTGCCTTATAAGGCACTTAACATTCTTTACTAGTATTTTCATGATTCAAATTAAACCAAGACCATATTTTTCATTTGCATTACTACAGTTTCTACATTTTAATTCTAGGCTTTGACATTCCTTTTGAGGATGTCTTTTTTGGTTACGTCTATTGCAAATTGCTTTATTTTGACAATATCTCTTCATGTGGCCAACTTCATAACCAGAGAAACATCTGGTAACTCTCTTATATTCATTTATATTGTGTCTAATTCATCTTAAGTCAACCCTTTTCTCTTTTATTACTCTTTTAAAAGACTCTGGATTTAGGATACAATCCAATGAACACCAGTTATTGATTTGATATTAAATCTTGGTAAAAATCGGCTGTTTTTAAATCTTTATTATGAGATATTAACAATTCTTTGAGCTCTTCATTACCCAATGATGAATCAACATTATAAATTATTATCTTTGGATTAACCTTTTTTAGGTCTCTTTATTTCTAATTCTTCATTTAAGTTTGCATTTTCAGCAACAGTTGATTCCAGAACTGTCTTCTTTTTTAATAAATTTTATTAGCACTCCACCATTTTTTAATTTTTTGTACTTTTTGAATACCAATCTTCAATCGATTGGGTAATATATTTTTTCCTAATTTCTCCCTTATTTACTCCGATGTACAGTTTTCTCTTTAGAATATATCAAAGTTAAATATTCAAGTTCTATTTTCTTAGATCTAGATCTTGATCTAACTTTTTCTGCATAAGTAGGTTTCTCTTATTTTCTTTTTCATCTATCAAATAATTTTCTCTTTCTTTTAACTGACCTCTCAATTCACTATTTTCTATTAAAATATTAATCATTACTTTTTTAAACTTCTGGAATATTTCTCTTATTTTATTTCCAGTTGTTAATTTTTACAGCGGAATCTCCCAAGATTCTTTCTAATTCACTTGTTTGATTGTAAAAGTATGACAGCACGTTGTCAGTGACTCTGTCAAATTTAGATCTAATGATTCATTTGCATCATTAGTATTTCCTTCACTTTTATCATCTTCTTTTTCTCTCATTCTTTCCTTCATTTCTTTGTTTTGCATCTTCTTTCTTATTCTTTTTCCTCCTTTTCATTTTTGTTTTTCTTATCTCCATTCGCCATCCCAGCAATACTCTGGGGTTGACACTGGGGGATGTCTGTATTTGTGGAATGTAATTTAGATCCCACAAAAGTATTAGTATTTCCCCGACCACAACAAGGTATGAGACTCATGACAAAGTCATTCACACATTATATTCACAGATTACATAAGTAATAATTACCCAAGCACAAAGTGAAAATGTGTGACAGTAAGATTGGATGCATGCAAAGTCTAGACATAAACAAAAATAGTCAAAAAGTCCTTTCATGCAAATTAAAAATGTAAACAATCTTCGGTTCAAAAGGCCTAACAGAGCTTAAATGATAAAATTTCAGTAAAATATCACAAATCCTGAATGAAAAAGTGTGAAATCAATAAATATGCATAAAAAACACAAAAGTTATCAATTATAATTCAAATATCCCTTTATACCCATAAACAAAGTTATTAAGCGTGGAGAGTTAATCATGTATATCTTCACAAATTACGTATGCGTATGCCCAAGCATTCTATGAAAATAAGGTAGAGAGCATAAAAACTCTAAACATATACATAAATAATCAAAAAATTCACTCATGCACAGATTAAAAGTGAATGAACTTGGCAAAGTCAAACACATAAAATTTTTTAATCAAAACCAATAAATACACTTAGTTTCCAAAATAAAGCATAAGAGCACTAGATCAAGTGTTTTCAATGCCTCAAAATAATTTTCACGGTCTAAGAAGAATTGAAATTGAATATAAATATACCTCTTGGATTAGGCCTAGTGACTCCAAAATGCATGAGAGCTCAAATTCACTATGCACTTCTTATAAAGTTGAATTTCTTAATAAATCATCACTAGAGCACATACTGAAACACAATTTAGTACTAAAAACCGATCATATTTACCGAAATATTTCACAAAGTCCAAAAGCTCAAAGAACATGCAATCATCATTGTGCCAAGCATGTGCACCTCTGCAAGTTTTAGTAAGAAATAAAGAAGAAGTTCATAATTATTTCCCTCTACAAATATATTCATTTTTACTTCCTTGTATGAAGTAAAGGAAGTATTGTAATCACAAAAAAATATTGGTTATCAGATTTCAACTGATATATCCATTGTCCAATCCATTTTGATTTTTTCCCCCCATGACATCTATATATATGGACAGAATAAGGGTCTCTTTATTCCAAAACAATTAGTAAAACAGATTCAAAATGGATTATTTTTTGTGATGTTTGTATGTATATAAGTACCTTACTCATTATAAAGAAAAAAATTACAAGAAGTTTGACACCCATATGAAAAAATTTAATCGGGATACTTAGTTACAAAATTTGCAATTTTTTAAGTCATTTTCAACTTGCCTTGAAATATAAGTTAATTATTTTTCAGTACCATATTTGACGGCATATAAGACACATTGGCATATAAGACGCACCCTTATATAGAAGGCCACACACATGTAAATGTAGAAAAAGTTATGTGTGTGTCTAGACCTTTACCGGGTTAAAAATAGCATTCAGTATTGAAAGTTAACCTGTGTCCTTCAGGTATAAGACGCAGGTAACTTTTTTTTAGACCAAATTTAGGAAAAAAAAGTGTGTCTTATATGCCGTCAAATATGGTAATTCAAGGAAATAAATTTAAATGAAGCGTACCAAAAAATGTGTGAACTTAATAGGCTTTACAAGGAAGTCATGTGGTGTCCACATCAGATTTTTTCTATATGTCTCAAAGAAAAATTTAGTAAATAAAAGAAAAATAACAATCAAGACAAACAAGACAGAATCTGAATGTTGAACAATCTTTTCACCCAATATTATTACCAAGCAATTAAAAAATTCTTTTCTCAACTCACCAACAGGCACACTCTTGTTTTAAGAGATTACTAGAATTCTGTTGTCGTCATTCCTTTCTTTCCATCAATTAGATATAAAACTGCATGCATTTTACAGACATTTAACTTTTGGGCCGTTTATCCTCCTATCAATAAAATTCTGAGTTCCATACTTAAGGATTCCATTCTGGATATGAATTACTGGGGTATTTGCAGGATTCCTCCCTAGTGTGGTTTAACTTACATTAGTCAAATTAAGAGGATCTTAAAAATTCCCATTAAGGAACATAAGGCATATGTTAGGAAAAGGAAACACAAAACACTCTGTTGAGAGAAAAACACTTTGTTGTCCAGCATTGTGGGTCCAAAAATCACACTTTCCATTTTTCTGCAGCCAAAATCATTCAAAATACATCTTTCATTGGTGAAATGAATTTTCTAGAGGCATTTTACATTAAAAAAAAATATTTCTGTTTTAATTCACGACCCTAATTCCAATCCATTTTTACCTTCAGCCTTTAAGGAAATTATGTTTGAGTTTTCTTGTTTCATCAATAGATAGCGCCAGTAGCTTAACACCTGCCCAGCCATTCTTAGCTTATCTCATCTCCTTTATTTGCACTTTGCCAGCTGAGGTTGCTGGTTTGGTAAAACCATCAAAACTAGTCCTGTGAAAATTTGCAAATATAAAGCTGATTTTTGTTGTTTGACTTCTGAATTAATATTTATTCGGCATGTTATTTTACCTTAATTTAAAATTTGTTTTGTTAACAAAAATTCCATTTTATGGAAAAAGAAAAATTAGCCACTCAGCTGCTTTTGTACATATGGCTTGTATGCAATTAGAATTTGAGAACACAGCTGTAAGAGACTTTTTTTCAAAGCGATTTTGTGCTTTTCTTAACACATTAGTGGATCTTTGACTACAAAGAGATCAACTAAAAAACACCTTTTTAAAAATTTGAATTTTAAAAATGTTTTCAAAGGTTAATCCTTCCATTAGTTATTGATTACAACCTAAAATAGAAGTACATCTGATTTATAGAAATACACTAGATATATGAAAATATATTTCGAATATTATAGAAATAAAAATTACTCACTTTGTATTTTAATAACCGATCATCCAAAGTCTGTCTTTTCCATTCGGGATTCAACTGCGAACCAAATATTTTTTTACAGATTTGATGAAGTTGCTCTTCTACATCAGAAGGTGGCTGGTAAGAAGGCTGTTCTTTAGCAAACCTGAAAATCATACCAAACAGAAATTATCAAAATATATTAAAATGTCTAAAACTAAAAAAAAATTATGTTACTCTCTAATTGTCCACCCACGCATGACAAGAATCACAGGGTAAGGCACTATGTCATCAAAGTAGGCAATACAAAATTTTATGAAAATGTATTTATCTGGCAGTCCACAATGGTTGTGCATACATCATGCACTGGCATAATGCACATGGTTTTGAAATTCCAGAGTCATTTTTTTAGTGATAACTTTTTCTAAACTTGTGTGATACTCAGATTTTCTTCAAGTCCAAACAGGTCGATGTGTATATGGTGAGTAGTGATGAGTTGCTCTGTGATGTTGAGAATTTAAAAATTCTCTCATTTTTTTTCAAGTTAAAACAAATCATCATGCCCATCAGCAGAAGACCAGGGCAAAAGAATGCATACAGTATTTCAATATGGATTATTATTATCTTTTATTAAAGAATAATAATTAGTATCTATAATATATAACTATTATCTATAATAAATATTATCTTTTATTAAAGAATAATTTATCATCTTTTATTAAAGAAGAGTGTTTTACTATGGATGTTCGCCACATGTTTAATTTAGTTAATTTGTTGCTACTTTATGCAATATTGAGTGTTTTGTTATGGTTGTTTGCTTTTTTATTTTTCAGTTTTTCATTAAGGATGTTTTGTTTTTATTTTTGTTCATTCACTGCTGTTGTATGTAATCTGCTGTGTGCTCCATTTTTTTAACATGGCTATTTTTTTTTTTTAATATATATATACGTATATGTTAGGTTGGCAAAAAATTAAATGCCAATGACTGGTGACTCTGTAGGAGGACTGAGTAGATAATCAGAAAGTACCATTATTTATTCTAAAGTGATAAATAAAACAGCATATGCTTAACTACATAAAAATTACATTTAAGTGAGAATTCTTTTATTAAACTATGTGTCCTTTTTAATCTCTACAAGATTCCAAACAGAATGTTCCTGTTAAAAAGGCCACTATAAGAACTTCAGCGTAATTTGGCAAAAACTAGAAGAACATTTGACCTTCAAAAAATGAAAAACTGCTGTGTACAGAGGACATAATACTCATTGTTCTTTGAGGAGGCCATACTTCAGCCACAGCTACCATTATAGAATAAAATATTGACCTTTTCTTATTTTTACCCATATTGAACTGGAAATAAGTTCCTCAGTCTGAATGTGTAGAAAGTGCAAAGCAATAAGAAAAGGAATCCTGGAACCATGAAACAAATTATCGGCATGAAGACTTCCCACATACAGTTTTTCATTTGCATTTGTTGGAAATGAAAATACAAATTTGGAATCCTTTGTTATACAGAGAAAAGGCATCTCAAATTGCAAGAAGTCTAAATTTAAATCAGGCTACACAGATAACCATTAAAAAAATATTTTGTTTTTAAATGTTTTTGAAATGCATCTCTCTATTTCATATTGGATGTTAGTCTTGTAAACCATGCTAATACCTGTTTTCCCAGCCGATGTACCATTTGAAAACTGCAAAGTCTGAGGCAACACTTTCAGGTTTAGAGAGCCAGCTAGGTTATTGTAACCAAAGGGAACTTATCACAAAGTTCAAGGAACTTCCTTTGCAGGATAATAATGCTGAGTGTTTGAATGGTTTTCTGGTCACAGTAATAGTTTCACTGTAGGGAAACTACAGCAAAAACTACTATTCAGGATCCGTAAGTGACCGAATTTAGGAAACTCGATTTGACACAAAGGGCTTGCAGTCTATGGCCTATCCCTTACACAGTAGATAGCTACGTGGCTATTACTCCACTACACGTGGCTATATTAAGAAACATTTGATAGCACAGTTCAGGAAACAAATCTGTCAAAACTTAGACAATTTGGTTAATACCAAAGTAGCCATCAATTCCAAATGAGAATGATTCATAATCTTGAGTGAAGCCATGTGACACTTCGCAACGATGAAACTGGTGCAAATGTTACTTTTGAATCAAGGTATCTAAAATATCCGTACAGCACCATATGCTTTAAGGCTAGCCTCAGCAAATACATGGAGGCAACATTAGATTTTTCACAACTATCAAAATATTTTCTCAGAAGAGAAAAATTCTCAAGCTATGATAAACTGGCATCCTTCTATGATCCATGCTGAATAAGTGCTTTCTGTATTATGATCCATGCTGAATAAGTACTTTATGGTGCATGCCCGTACACAAGAAATTGTTTCTTTACCACCTGATCATGTTCTGCAATCACCTCTATTTTCTATAACAGGACTTCATTATACTGCCGCCTTCTTCACAAAGTACAGCAAGGATAAACATTATCTCTTCTGTTTACTTGCCCTAATATCCAAGCCTTACATTTAAAACTTGTGAGAATATACAACTTTACACTTGCATTCTGCAGATTTATTTCCCATCATGGATTGTGCTCAATAATATACTCAGACGATACAAAGATATTCAAGTGTGCTGATCTCAAGTGTGTGATTCAAGTGACCTGAACTTTGCATTCCGCCGATTTATTTCTCATCATGGATTCTGCTCAATGATATAGTTGGACAATACACAGACATTCGAGTGTGCTGATCTCGAGTTGCGAAAAATCTGGATGTGTATTCTACATCCATCTGTACAAAATTTGTTTTCCGCCCATGGTATAACATGAAAATACATTGCTGAAAAAGGAGCATGATGGGAAGAGTTCCAGGAAAGGTACTTTAGAATAATCGAAACTTGTTTAAGAAAAATAGTTCAGTGTTCTAGTCTCTGTCTGAATGAATTAGAAACAGTTTTCTTTGAAATCGAAGCCATAATTAATTCAAGGGCCATAACATACATCTATGATGACCCTTCAGAGCCCTCATCACTAATTTCTTAGGTGGTAAACATTTATTTTCTCTTCCAGTTACAAGAGACTTGAATGGGTTTACACATTCCTTGATCAAAACATATAAATATCAACAAACTTCATTAAATTATTTTAGAGTCATTGGATGAAGTGTTACTTGCTTTCTTTAAGGTCTATTGACTTATGTCCACCTACTAAAGTGTCTGGTGAATTTAAAGTTGATGATGATGTCCTTAAATGTGAGAATCATTTCTATAGGAATCTGTGGTAACAGATTAGATATGCAGGTAAGATAACAGAAATTTATCCTGGCAGATATGGTCAGGTTTACTTCTATCTCATAAAAACTCAAATAGGTAATTTTAAAGAGACCAGTACAATTGCTTTACAACCTTGAAGTGTATAATTAGAAGCAAAAAGCAACTCTGTAATAATCTGATTTTGTTCTTTTGTATATGTATCATTTTCTGAGTATCTTTATTGATGCTGTTAAATGTGATTTTTTAGGTTGTATGATTATTGTGAATTTTAATTTTAGTATAATTGATTCGTTGTTTCTTATTTAATAATTAACTTATGTTGATTTAATATGTTTAAACATTATTTTTATTTGCAATTTGATATATTTAAAATGTTGTGATTGATTTACTAATATTAATTTATCATGTATTCGGTTTGTGTGAACTTAAGAAATCACATATGGGGAGTGTTGAAAATTGAGAATATAGATAGTATATTGAGATATAGATATTATAGTATATTGAGATATAAATTGAGAATATAGATAGTATATAGGTACTGCTTTATAGCAGAATTCATGTAATGTAGAAACGAAAAGGAAACTGCATATCGATTCACTATGCAGTATTATTCTTGTGAAAGTTGGTCCACCTTATAATAGGAAAAAAATGTATGTATTTATATATAAAATGATATAATAGATGATAAAGAACAATCTACTGCTTTGTTTTCCTGGATGGACACCCCTCAGATTTTGTGGTTTCCAAACAATTTATGTGTTCTTAAGAATAAAAAATCTAATGTGTACACCACATGACTTTCTTGTACGGAATATTAAGTTATACGCATTTTTTCTTGCATTTTATTTAAACTTATTAGATTGAATTAAACCTACTTCACCGACAACGCATAAACCACAATAGAATAAATGCATTCTTTAAAATTCACTTTTTTTTTACCATAGCGACACTCTGGCGCTAGGTTTACTTAACAGTATTATATTTCATTCATATTATAACTCAGAATGCACAAAATTTATATCATTTAAAGAATTATCTAACTGTTGCCACATGTTCTATTCAAATACTAAAATAAAGCTAAAACTATGTATAAAAGAAATTAAGCAAACAAAACAAAAAAGAAACAGTTTTTCACAGACGATTGAGTATTTCTCAGTCAATTAATTCAGTTTTCACTTCGCGACAAGGAAAAATACATAAAAACTCAAAATATCTGTATTAAAAATTATGAAGTAAATCTTAAACGCTTATTTCCTCGAAAAAATTCCAGAAAGAATTAAGCATGATTTAAATAATAAATGAAGGCATTATCTTTGTTGTTGCGAAGCTAAGTTTCTCTAGATTGGCAACAAATCCGCTACTCAGCTGTTTCAAATGTAAACAAGAGCAATAGCCGCCATCAAATTAGGCTTAGCGGCACTTAAACAATTTTAAAATTGTTGATAATTCTAAAAATATTGCATATTGATTTACTAAAGGCATAAAACCCTTAACCGGAATATAAAAACAACATAATTCAATCATTTTTAAAGCAAAAAATGTACAATTTACAAACATATAAGAGTAAAGAAACTAAGATCACTGAGCCGGGTAACAGAGTGGATATATTTATAAATATATTTATATACGTTTGGCACGGCCGATTGAAACCAAAATACGAGGTGCACATCTACATGTTATAGTAGTCTTATATAAAAAATTTCAACGTTCTGAGGATACAAAATTTCAACGTTTTGAGTTATGCGAGATACGCACGTACGTACATACGTTCATACAGACGCCACGAAAAATTCTCTTCAGAATTCATTTTTCAAGTAGTTTTTTAGTTTTTTTGGAGGAAAGAGTCTTTTATTCTGTCCTTACGTACAGATATCACGCAAAAACAT